TAGGGGAACAGTTGGGCTTGATGATCTTTTCCAACTTAAACAATTCTATGATTTATGATTCAGCATGACTTGCCTGCCCCAAATGCAGCCAGGCGAATCCCACCTTGCTTCCACACTGCTCCACTCCCCTGTTTTCTTTTGCTCCTTCCCCACACGTGAAATTCTCACTCAGCATCCACCACCACCTAACACCTCCAGCCTTCCTACAACCTAATTTTTTTAGTTTTTCTCCCCCCACTCCTGCTCCAAAGGTCCCCTTTCCCACTGAGTGAGCCACATGTACCTTCGCTTGCTGTTCATACTTTCCACTTTGGACCAGGAATCCATCTCCGGGTTGTAAACTTCCACAGTGCTCAGCCTTAGCTGACCGTCGTAGCCGCCGATGGCATAGAGCAGTCCATTCACCACCGCTACCCCGACTCGGCTCCGGGCCGTCGTCATCGGCTGGCACTTCTCCCAGCGGTTGGCAATGGGATCAAAGACTTCCACCACATTCAGTGAGTCACCTGCATAAAAATTTGCTACTCAAATTAAAAGAGGAAGACCTGATAAAACACTGTTCTAGCGAGCTTGCCCGAAGCAAAGGCACGCGAGGGGTAAGTAGCCGCCGCTCTGACCCCAAAGCTGGGGCTGACACAGGGGCTTTGCCTGCTCTTCTCTGGGAAAAAGGCCAGGATCTCACAGGCCTGACCTATTCTGAGCTCTCACATGGCCTGTTCCAGCCTCCCTGCTTCCCCATCAAAGGCAAGTCAAAGGCATTTCCCAGCCAGATGTCTACTCACCTGCAAAGACAGCCCGCTCCGAAAAATTCACATAAACTGCACTCCGCAACGCAAAAAGATTGTAGCTTGTTTCAAAGCTTGCCCATGCTCCATACCATAAGACTTGACAAGTCCTAGGCTGTGGAAACGGGGCCTCTTGCAACCTCAAAGGGGCAGCAGAGACCTGCGATGCCACATCTATTGGTGTCGCTGCTTCCTGGGAACGCAGCTTCTCTATAGGACAGACCAGCCCTGTTGCGGTGTGACTGGGGCGTGAATCCCAGGAGGTGGTGCCTGGCACAAACCTGCTGCTCAGACCTTATGTCCCACCTTAACCAGGTTGTTTGTGGCTCCAGCAGAGAGTTTCATGAGCGCTTTCTGTCCCCTTTTTATGCTACGGGTAGGCTCATGCAAGAGCGTTGTGTCTGCAATCCCACAACCCCACCGACATCACCTCGATACCTCCGAGTTCTGCCTGTTGCTACAGGCGAGGACACCATCCTCAAAACGCTGATCCTTTAAGAGACGCAAGAATAGCTGTCCTAAATAAACCTGGCCTAGACAGGGTTTCTAGATGGAAGATGTTAAACTATGGGCATGGTCACCTCGAGCGTTTCGGTGGAAGGGTCGAGGTGCTGCACGGAGGAGGAAAAACTGCTCAAGGCTTCACGTGAGGGAAGTTCACGATCCCATCGTCCTACCCAGCAAACCATGCTGCCCTCTCCACTGCGGGGAGCGGATATGCAAGGTACCTGCTGAGTTAAGTCCTCCAACAGCATAAATCAATCCTGCAATCGATGTGCAGCACCGAGGACGGGTCTTGAATGCTGGGAGGTGCGGCCGGCGCTCCGGCATGAGGTGATAATCTTTTGCCTCATCAACGAGATCCCTGGGGGGAAAAAAAAAAAAAAAAAAAAAATCAAAGCCAAACAGTTAAAGAGCTCGGTCGATAGGATGAAACCTGACTGGCTGAAGTCAGAGGAAGATTTAGGCAACTCACTTTCCCCCTGTGTGGCCAATACTTCTAGAAGGCAACGTGGCCCTGCTGTCAGGTTAAAACTGGGGAGGGTGCTTCGGTCTTTTGTTATGCAAGGTGCTTGTCCACGGAAAGAGAATTTCAGCCTCCGAGACTGCTAAACCGCTCTGCCGCCATCTCCATCCCACTGAAAGCCACCATCCCCCAGGTGGTTTCCTAACCCCACGTCCAAGCCTCACCTGCATTTGTGGCAGCAGCGGACCAGGTCATCTTGTTGCACGCGGTCAGTGAGAAACTGAGGTCGACAAAGGGGCAGGCGGATTTTGGACAGGAGCTCGGGTAGGAACAACTCCCTCTGGTCTCGGTCATACCGTATCCAAGCTAACGCAGCTTCAAACACCTAGGGAAGAGAGGAATGGGAAGTTGGAGTTTTGGGTTTGGGTTTTTTTTGGCTAATTCCTAACGCTGCCAGGTGTCTGATGGAAAAGAAACCATGTATTGACAACGGTCTTCCCCTGATCTCAGATGAGACTGTTTCAGGGCAGAACGGCGACGTTCTCCATAGCACTGGAGAGCTCTCCTGTGGTGCGATGCTCAGGAGGCTTTGCCTCGGCACTGCTTTCTCTGCCTCCGACTTAGGCTGCGAGAATACCAATCTATCGTCCTGTAGGATGGTATTTTAGTATGAATGTTTGTGGGGAGATGAGGGAGCTGGGAAGAGGATTTGGCTAGAGGAGGTGGGAGAGAATGCAAAGCCTTGTTTATGTGGTGTCAAAAATTAGCAAACAGGGGAAGCGGAAAAGGGAACAGTGCTGCTCTGTGAAAACCAGAAGATGCTTTTGGTGAAAGGGATCCATCCGTTAACTTTGGATAACGAGACAACAGACGTTTGGAGCCGAGCTGGTCCCTCTAGGCTCCCTTCGCAGATGCTGGAGGGGATGACCTCTGCAAAGCACAGTTCACCTGCCCCGCTTTGGATGACTCCAGATTAGAGAAGGAGCCTGGTGACCAGGTTAATGAGATGAGTACTCCTTGGTTCACAGGACTCTCACAGTTACAGCCTGAGCTGGGCTCTCCTACACTCTTGCACTTACATCCAGATGATTATCCATGTGAGGATGGGCTGACAGCTGGGTTTGTTCAGCCTTGAAAAAATGAGGCTCAGAGGGGACCTCATCACCACATACCAGTACCTAAGAGGTGGCTACAAGGAACATAAGAGACTCCCTTTTCACAAGGAGTCACATGGAAAGGATGAGGGGGAAGGGGTACAAGTTAATCCTGAGAAGATTCTGATTGAACATGAGAGGGAAATTTTTCCCCATGATAACAGTCAACCACTGGAATAATCTCCCCAGGGAAGGAGTTGACTCCGCCACATTGGACACTTTCAAGCCTCAGCTGGACAGGGTGCTGGGCCATCTTGTCTAAGCTGTGCTCTTGCCTAGCAAGGTTGGACCAGATGATCCTTGAGGGCCCTTCCAACCTGGGATTCTAGGATTCTACGATTCTATGATTGACCACATTCAAGTCCCATCACTGTCACCCAAGGCAGAGCTCCCACTGAGCGCAGCGTCCCCAGCAGTTGCATTGACCAGGGGTCACACCCCAAGGCCAACACCGCAGCCTCATCTCCATTCAAAGGTTCAGCTCAGGGAGATCACAAACCCACAGCAGTCTCCCAGAAGCTGCAAGGAGAACTGGTCACTGTGGTCATGGCCACCACCTTGCAGGACA